CAAGGTCAAGGTGCTGAGCAGTTTGGTTTCCGATGAGAGCCCTCTTCCTGGCTTGTCGATGTTCTCCTGCTCCCTGTGTCCTCACACAGAGCAGAGGGAGAGCGCTCTGCTGTCTCTTCTTATAAGAATATTAATCCTGTCATATCAGAGCTCCACCTTTGTGACCTCATTTAATCTAAATTACTTCCATAAAGGCGTGTTTCAGGGGGGATAGTGTAAGGAAATAAATTGAGGAAAACAGAGAAGCAGGACATTTATAGGACACAGAAATGAATTATTATCTGTGGATGATAGCGTGTTTTGTATCCTCAACTGGACTGGTGTGAAGTGTAGTCATGTTGGGTAAATTCAATTCACATGCTAAGTGATATATAGTGATTAAATGTAAATAATAAAATAAAATAAACATATAGTCATATTGGAGGTTAGGGTTTCAATATGTAAAATTTGGAAGAAACAAATGGGAACCTGTTTTTTAAAACAAGACAATGAATTATTTTGAACATGTTGAGTATGCAATGAATGATGTGTAGTTGCTGTTGGAGATCTCAGTTGGGATGCGGAAAAGAGAAGATTATGAAAAGAAAAGATTATAGAAGATAGATTTATAAACTCTCGACACAGCTCTCAAAGTTGAGGCCATGGGGCTGGGTGAGTTCTCTGAAGGAGAAAGCACTAATTGATACAGAGAATTAAGGGGACAAGGACCAAGTCCACTGAAAATACTCATGGAGGTGAAAGAGGAATAAGTCAGCAGATAAACAAGTTGTCAGAGAGATAGGGAAGTAAAATGGTGTCAAGAAAGATAAGAATGAGAAAAAGGTTGTGAGGAAGTGGTCAACAGAGAGGTCTTAAAAAGGCCATCATCCAAAGGCCCTGGATTTTTAAGTTTGTTACTTCTTTTATGAGAGAGAGACAAAGACAGCATCCCTAACTGGGTCTCGATGCTATGATCTATCCCCAGCCTTCCATCAGCCCTGGATCATAGGTTCATGATGACCCAGCATTCTCAGGAAGGTCTTTGGACTTGAACCATCAATCTTCATAAGAGGGATTGCCTCACAGATTGTGGTGTTTCATGCTGTACCATTGTCTAGACTCCTGGATTTGTAGATTAGGACATCATTATTGACTTTTGAAGGTGCAGTCTCAGTTATGTGATTGGGAAGAGATTAAAATGACAGAGGTTTTTTGTTTTTTGTTTTCTAAAAAAAGCAGGATGGGCTGATATGAAGTACATGGTTGGAGCATAAATGGGGAGTTGGATTACAAAGGTAGTGAGTGCAATAAAGAGCCACTGAAGTGTCCAAAAATTGAATTCAGCCCTGCTCAGATAGTTACTTCTTCCAGCTGACCTTGTACATTCTTTCAACAAAAATCATTGTGTGTCAACTCTGCTGGGCAATGTCATGTTCACTGGAGGTAAAACAAAAGTTCCCTGTCCTCCCATACCACCTATACCTCTTCCACTTCTACCAGGGGCAAACTGCTGATCTTCTGTGCAGATTTTCCATAGAGAGCTGGTGCTCACCTGGACCCGTTCTAAATAAGGCCATCTTCCTTGTCCTGTGGAGCCCTATCAGGGCATGCTGTCTTTTCTTTGGAAGCAAGAGAATAATTTGGTTATTTTCCTCTTTTATTAAAGGGAGACAAATTGGAATCAATCAGATTTTTCATCAAAATGCACACTGCAACATTTTTTAAAATTAGCACATGATGTGGGACCAGCAGATGGCATAATGGTTACATCACTGGACTCCCAAGTAGTCGACCACAGTTCAAGTCCTGGATCTGGTGGCTTAAAACTCATTTAAGGCACTCATGCATGCATGCCCAAAATACCAAGCAGAGAATGGAGGAGAAGAGGTTGTGGTGTGGCATCCCCCCTGCGGGGTGATTTCTCCCTTTCTGTCTCTCGGTCTTTCCAGTGAGCACATATGCTCTGTAGCAAAAATATCTCTAAAAAATATTAGCACATAATGAAGTAATGATACAGGTCCTAATGTTTGGGACCAAAAGTGTTTTGGATTTTGGATTTTTAGATTTTTGGAATATCTGTATATGTATAACGAAATATCTTGGAGACAGTACCCAAGTCTAAACACAAAATGCATTTATGTCTCATGTATAGTGTATACACCTGAAGGTAATTTTATATAGTATTTTTGTATTGTTGTATTTTGACCACAACTCATCACATGAGTTCAGGTGTGAAATTTTCCACTTTTACTTTCTGGTTGCACTTAAAAGGTGAAACTTTGGAGCACATAGGATTTCAATTTTCAGATTAAAGATGCTCAATGTGTACTGTCAATTATCAAACACCTCAATCTGACTTCATTCTAAGTTATATTTTATTACAAATACAATCTCTACATATAAACCGACTGTTTAGTAAGCAGTAGGTTCTAATTCATTTGGCTGGGGCCAGTCCAAGCCATTACCATATTAACAAGCTTTCCAGCGAATCTTACTGTGCACCCAGGATTGAGAGTCACTGGATTAGAGATCCATGGTTTCATGGCACTTACTTTGTTGGAGAGCCCTGGCACTGAGATGGAAACAGAAATTTTAGTGTCCTCAATTTGGGAGTGTTATCTGCTTCGTGCCCTTGCTGTAGGTTGATTTCTACTGGTGATCTGCCCAATTCTAGCTTGATAAAGATTTTATAAGCTATCTTGATCTCACAGTATTCTTTAATCCATTGCAAATATAATTTGCAGATGGGAAATGATTGTGCCTACAGTTATCTACTCTCAAATTAGAATGTACTTTTAATTTCTGATGAGTCACTTTTCTTGTGTAATACTCGTTTTTGTCTCATACTAGTTGTCATAACTTGAGTTTCTAGTCACTCCCATAGTACCTTGTTATATTGTTTTAATGCAAAGTAAAGAAAAATCTGAGGCCTCTGATTCTGCCTAATAACTCTATTTGGAGTATCTGGCTTTGATAGATCCTACATGTGTCTAGCTATATTCTGGATATTGCGAAGAACTAATACCATGCTATGTAGTCACCACCCTTGAAGAAAAAGAAGACATATAGAAAAAAATATGTAGAACAAGAAGTCAAAAGTTGTGCTAAGCCTTTTATAGCATTGGAAAATTGAAGTTATCATTGATGTGTTAACACAACCTCAAACGCCTGAAGGGGTCATGTAGCTAGCTTAGCTACCTTGAAACTCAAGGAGAAAACGAACCGGATACTAAAATATTTCAAAATAAAACTTAGCATCTGCCCAATTTCATTACATTTTTGTTTTTTAAATCCTGGAAAGGCACAAAACACAGCCAACAAAACTTACCCTTACTTTATAACCTCTGGTTCTTTAGATAGAGATAACTTGGCTATGGCCTAGTAGAAGGAAATGGAGATTGTAGAGCAGTAATTGGTATTGATAGACCCCCAGTAGTTATTGTTGAATGAATGAATGAGAGAGAAAAATAGTTCGGGCTGAAGCAAAGATTTATGTATGAACGTTGTCTGGTACTGTCATGAATGAAGTATTCACACTATTCTCAAGAGAAGCTAGATCTGACACTGTGATCACAGTCTGAATACCTGGCCTGGTCAGTCTGAAATACAGGCACATGTGCAAGTGCCCAAGATCCAACAAAATGGGGGATAGGAGAAAGGGAATCACAGCATCACAGACCCTGCGGAAGATGCTTATCTGCTTCTCTCTCTTTCTCTTCTCCCTCCCTTTCCTCTCTCCCTCTCTTACATTCATGTGCATATAGTCTATCATTAATAAAGAAAAAATTATTTTAGAAAAGGATTAAATTATTGGTACACTCATTTGACTCAGAACATATTTTCACTGAAAAATCAAAGGGAGCTTATCGTTAAAAGAGATGAGAGTGCTTTTTCCTGCTTGCTTTATTCTACTTATTCTAATGCAGTCATGCATTCTCATAAAGAATTACCTAAAATGATAAAGAAGCTTGGCCTTACGAAACTCATCGGGATTTTGTTTGAACCACTAAGGATTCTATGGTTGTCAGAAAATTAACTGACTTAAGCTAATTTAGGAAATCTTTCTGTTCTTCTACTTGCCTGGTTTCTGTTCCTTCTTCCACTTCATCCCAATCAATCCCATTAGTGAAAGACGTTGAAAGCTACCAAGTGCCTTTGATTCACTGTTCCATAGAAATTTTACTTTAGATTTTTCTTTTTACATACCCAATGATCACTCACTCACTTTAAGGTTTTAAAGTGGTTCTGTTACTTAATTTTGTAAACAGCCTTATTGACAATTTATATAACATAAAATTCACCTCTTTAAAGTGTACAGCTCAGTTCATCTTAGCAAATTTATATGGTTGTCCAGCCATCAGCACAATTCATTTTGGCTACCCTCTACCTGATCTGCTTTCTGTAGTTATAGCTTTCCATAGCCTGTGTAGAACCTTCATCTGAAAGAAATAAGCATATCTGATATTTGTTTTTAACTTAAAAACAACAACTACCTAATTAAAACAGCCGAAGACCAACTGAATTAAGTGGATCTTGTATTTCATTATAAACAGAAGCAAAATAAATAAATTAGAAGAATTAATTATCTATTCTCTTGAGCAGGTACTAAGGTTTTGTGGTGGTATCTCATTTGCTTTGCTGATCTGCAACTTATTTTATTTACTTTTTTTTGTTGTTTAGATATCTGATTTTTGTTTGGAGGTATGTGTTACATGTTACCCCTTCAAGAGATACAGATTAGTATTCTTTCTAACCTCAGACTTTATTCTAAAGTTTACATTAGTACAACACTTTTTTTCAGAATATAAATATTTGTGTCTGTGCAAGGGGAAAGAAATCAGTCACTTAATGAGTCATCAAACATTGTGAATGGATGGATGAAGGAATGGAAGATAGACTGATGGCATCTATACATATAGGTCTCAGGAAACTGGTTTATATAGGTTCTCCAGGAGTAAGGAATTATTACATTGCATATATTTGAAGTCAAATATCACTTTTTGTATGCTTTTATTTCACAGAAGAAAGGTGAAGCATGTCCTAGCAAGGAATAAAGTATTACAGTGGACAAAGTCCTATACTTTACCAGAGTTCCCCTATGACGTCAAATGCCTGTTAGCAGAGCAGAAGTGTCCCGATCACAGCATGAGGATAAGGATCATTGAGCTTCTCCAGGCTGACATGACTAAGTATCTGGAAGGTTCACTGTAAGTAATAACAGGACAGACTTACCAATTCGGGAGAGGGTATGCTTTCAAAGTAGAATTCCTTCGGAATCAACTGTCTTCAGATTTTACATGTCATATTGATAATACATCCAATGTTGCCCAATATTTGAATGCCTATTTTGTTATAAAGGGAGACCTGAAGGTAAATGAGTGTAATTTAGAGTCATCTTAAAGGAAGGAATGTGGGCTGCTTGACTTGCAATGTATCCTCTTTGTCATGGTGAACAGGTATCCCACGACCCAGCAGTACAATGATGTGGTCAATGCCCTACTGCAAGCATACCCTTTCCTGGATGAGGACGGCTGTGGCTTTGTAAGTGACCGTGCAGCACCATCCTGCTAATCAAGGTCCATTTAAAAGTAATAGCCTTGTGTTATTGTCCAGTAACTTGGGCCCTCACCCCTTTCTCCTAGATCTATTTCTCTCTCTTGGTCTGTCAATCTAGTTCTGTCTGATTCTCTTTGTCCATTTCTCTCCTCCGTTACCTTTTTTTTTTTTTTTTTTTTTTTTTTTGTCTCTGCTCAGTGTCTTTCTGGTTTTGTTTGTTTGCTTTTTCCTGTTTCTCTGCTTTGTTCTTTCTTTCTTTCTTTTTTTTTTTTTTTTTTTGAGAGGTTTTTCACTATAGGTCGCGTGCGCTCACCAGACAGACGGAGAGAGACATAGAGACAGAAAGCGAGAAATCACCCCCCAGGGGGGATGGTCACGCTGTAATCCCTTCTCCTCCATTCTCCTTTCGGGAACTTGGGCACACACGCACACGCACCCGGTGTGAGTTTTAAGCCACCAGGTCCGGGACATGAACCGCGGTCGACTACGTGGGAGTCCAGCGACAAAGCCATAACGCTAACTGCTGGTTCCCTGTTCTTTCTTTTTTTTGAGAGAGAGATTTTTGTTATACAGTGGGTATACTCACCAGAGGGAGAGAGGCCAGAGAAAGAGAGGCAGAGAGACAGAGAGATAGAAAGTGAGAAATTATCCCCCAATGGGGGATGGCCATGCCACTCCTCTCAGAATTTTGGCCACATGCACACACTTGTCTGGTGTGAGTTTGAAGCCTCTGGGTCTGAGACTCAAACAACAGTTGATCAAGTGGGAGTCCATCAACCTAACTATTATACTATCTGTTCATCCTTCTTTGACTCTTTCTTTGATTTATACTCTGTTCTTCTTTGTGGCACCTTCTCTATCACTCTCTTCCTGGTGTTCACTTGTCCCCTTTGTTTCTGTCTGTTGTCATCTTTCTGTCTCTCAAAATTGCTTTGGAAGCTGATGTGTAATGATGAGTCCCTAAGAAGGGTCTTTAGGGAACGTGGTACATAGAGGAATGAGACTGCAGCTGTGCTAGGGCTGTCATCAGTCGAGTGTTCCTTGCCTCCAAGCAGACAAGTGAAGGAGTTTGAGGTCTTGTCCTCTAGTCTCTCCTGGACCACTTATGTCTCTACTGTCATGTTAAAACAGATCCTAATGATGTTCAGGGGCAGCAGTTCTAAACTCTGGGTGCATATTACAATTCCCAGAGGTTCTGGTTTAATTAATTGGAGCACTAGTAGTTTTAGAAGTTCTCAGAATGATTCTACTGTACACCCAGAGTTCAGGATTTCTGCTTGAGGGGGTTCAAAACAACTATGCTATTTGGACCTGCCTATTTCTTGGGATTAAAAGACTGATGGTTTCATTACACAATAATGTGCATATATTTAACAAAGTAATATATATATATATTTAATATGTTGAGCTATATTTTTTTTTTTTGGAGAGATTTTCGCTATAGGGCACGTGCGCTCGCCAGACAGACAGAGAGAGACATAGAGACAGAAAGCGAGAAATCACCCCCCAGGGGGGATGGTCACACCGCAATCCCTTCTCCTCCATTCTCCTCTTGGGATCTTGGGCACGCACGCACACGCGCCCGGCGTGAGTTTTAAGCCTCCGGGTCTGGGATGCGAACCGCGGTCGACTACGTGGGAGCCCAGCGACATAGCCATTACGCTAACTGCTGGTTCCCAAGCTATACATTTTTTAATACTTTTTTTTTTAACATTTTTCCTAGAGGTTTTTGCTATAGGGCACGTGCACTTGCCAGAAAGACAGAGAGACAGAAAGTGAGAAATCACCTCCCAGGGGGGATGGCCACACTGCAATCCCTTCTCTTCCATTTTCTTGGGATCTTGGGTACGCATGCACACGCGCCCAGCATGACTTTAAGCCACAGGGTCCGGGACTCGAACCGCAGTCAAGTACAGAGATTAGCTACATAGCCATTACGCTAATTGCCGGTCCCTTGAGCTATACAATTAAAAATAGTTAAGAAAGCAATTAAAATATAAGTGTTTTTGGCAACACAACTATATGATTTAAGAAATAAATATGAAGAACAATAGCTATGTAGATGTAAGATATGCTGTCTTTATTCCTTGTATCTTCATGTGCCAAATGCATACACTTTTGTAGACCTCACTAAGATAAGTGTAGTTTTGTATAATGCAAAAATTTCATGAAAAATCCATATTATGAACAACACTATGCATGGATTTCAAAACCCTTTTGCATCAGAAACACACTCATATTATAATTCCATTTTCATGGAATTTTTGAAGACCCCTTTGTATTTATACATTTAAAGTATATATATAATAAAATATTATATGTTGTTCTTTCTTGCAGATATAGAATTTAAGCAATTAGCTCCAATTTGAGCAACAAAGGATCAATGCCAATATCTGTCAAAGTAAAAACATTTAAAGCCTCTATTTTTCCTTCTTTCTTTCCTCCCTTCCTTCTTTCTGTTTGTATTTCTAAGAAAGAGTTCATTATGTATGGACAGAATTATAGAACTTTCTGAAAAGGAGAGGGCCTGGAAGAGTCTTTTTTAAACTATCAGACTTGTATCGTATGACTAGAAATAGTAATACTTGAAGCCAAGGCTAGAATTCATATATCCTTGCTTCTAGGCTGACATCCTGTCTAAAATATGCTGCATATAAAGCATACTACAAAATAAATAAAATATTCTCTAAAATAACATGAACCAACAAAACAATAACAAACAAAGCTAAGGCTCCAACAGTGACCATCATGCCCATAGGGGTGGCAAATTGATTCTCAGGATTCTTTCTGTACTCAGGATATACTATTTGCCAACTAATCAGTGTTAGTGTGTATAAAACTAGTTGCACTTAAAATTAAAAAAAGAAATTGTTGAATAAGTTATACATTTTGTAGCTCAAAATCCAAAAGCTACAAACAGGTATACTAAAAATATCTCCCTCCCACCCCTGTCCTCCAGTCACCTAATACTCCTCCCAGAAGTAACCAATGTTATGTTATTAAGATGCCTTTCAGAGAATCTTTGCATAGTGTGTGTGTGTGTGTGTGTGTGTGTGTGTGTGTGTATGTGCAAATCTATATCCATCCAAAAACATTTTGATCTTTAGATTCATGGTTATCAAAATATGACATATACAAAGTACTGAATAATGCTTACTTTGCTCTTAGTGCATTTTACCCACATCTGTTCCCAGAGGGATTAACTAAAGATGATTAACTGATAAAGAAACATGGAAAAGTGCTTAGCAAGTTATAGCTATGTTTGCACACACAGAGTAGAAGGGACAATGCTGGCACGTAGACAAATGTTTACCCAAATTCTCCCTGAAAGCTTATATAAGTTTGAATTCCTATTGTTACAATGGGAGATGTAGAAAATTTCTTAGAATATTAATGTGTATGTGTGTGTGTGAGAGAGAGAGAGAGAGAGAGAGGAAAGGAGAATGCTTGATTATTTTTAGGGCTATTCTTATTTTTCAACTTTTTATTTTGAAAAATTCTAAATTTGCACAAAAGTTGAAAGAGAGCTATAGTGATATTCCTATAACCTTCACCGAGACAGAGGTTTCTCAACCTCTACACTGTTTACATTTGGGACTGGAGAATTCTTTGGGGTTGGGGCTTTCCTGTGTATTGTAGAATATTTAGCAGCATCCTCGGCACCCACAAAGTGTGAGTAACAACCCCTATCCTATACACCCCAGTCATAACAACCAAAGATGTCCTTAAACATAACCAAACGTCTCCTAAGAGCATAGACGGGACAAGGCCACTGCACTGGTTGAAGATCACTGATCTATCAGAGACTCACTGGGTACTAGCATTTACCCCATGCATCTTTCTTCTCTCATATTGATTTGTTTTGGATGAACATTTGAAAGCAAGTTACAGATGTCATTCCTAAATACCTAAGCATCTATCTTATAAAAATGAGAATGCTCTCCTATATGAAGGTACCTCAAATATTTTGTAGAAAAATGAAAACATGAATTTATTTTAAATCCATGCATAGTTTTTTTATAACATGCATTTTCCATGAACTTTTTGAAGAACACATGTAACCACAATACCATTTCTATAACTACGTAAACAAAAATTGCATAATATCATATACAGTGTATTGGGTTGTCAGAAAAGTCATGCTATATCTTTCCTGTTTTACTATGCAAAAATGTTTCGTGACTTTTCTGACGTCAGAAAAGTCATGCTATATCTTTCCTGTTTTTCTATGCAAAAATGTTTCATGACTTTTCTGACAACCCACTATGTTCACATTTCTCTCATTATTAAGAATGTAAAAAAATGAAGACAAAAAAGAAACATTTGAAAATATTTTTGTGATAAAATGTAAACAAGGATTATGCACAGGACTTGTTTGTTACTGGTATGTCTCTAATTTCTTTTTGTCTAGAATAGCCTCTCAGCTTTTTTTTCCCTTTTTCCTGACAAGTACTTTTTGTGTAAGTCTAGCCCAGTTGCTGCATAAGATGATCTGTATTCTGTGTTCATCTGAATGTTTCTTAGTGATTATATTTGGGTTTAAAATGCAGGTCAGAGATCTCCTGGCGATGCTGTGGACTTGATGTGTCTCAGCAGGAGGCTCATAATTTCAGGGTTGTTTTATATTTCAGAGTGACTGGAGGAGGGCTGTAGCCATATAGAACTTTCCACACCCCTACCAACTAGAAAAATATGGAGAAGGGGGCTGATTCTTCCGTAATGAAGATATCCACTGAGTATCTATCTGAGGTGTCTGTGTAAGAAACTCACAAATGCTCAGTAAATACTCATTGATTGAATAATCATGAGGGAGACTGAATTTGATTTGTCCTTTTTCTGTTCCTATCAGTTAATAAGGACAGATAAGAAAAGCTAAGAAGACGAAATTGGCAATTTAAAAATGTCCTAGCAGTTGATTGTCATAATACCTCCCAGCAGGCTCTGCAGGTTTAGAAGCCCTTAAGAACTATAGGAAACATGTGAAAAAAAAAAATAGCTACTTGTACGATTTCATATTTGGGAACTAAGACAAATATAAGTCATGCATTACTTCTGTGCTGTCTTAAGACAATGATGGCAGAATCCAGGCCCCCAAAACTGTGGGAGGCAACAAAACACTGCTGACTCATCCTTCTTCCGGAAGATGAGTCAGGGCCAAGGCTGCCCCCAGCCCTCAGACCTCAGCCTGCTGCTCTCCTCACCAGCACTATCAAAGGCTTTTGTGAACAGCACTATAGTTTACAAATAGCTTCTGTGAGTAGCTACTCATTTGAGTATCCTAAGCCCAGTGCAGTTACAGCATGGATCTTTTCCTTCTGTTTTATAGTTGAAGACACTAAGGCCAAGTAACTAGTTGAAGGTTACTTGACTAACATGTATTCAGACTAGTACTAAGACCATTGCGCCCGCCCCCACCCCCACCCCCAGCTTAGGCTAAGGTGCTTCCTGAATCATAGGAAAAATGATTACAATTTTTTTGGGAGTTTAACTGGCCTGTTCTGTTATTTTCACAGTTTTCATGGAAACGAGCTCTCAAAGATCGCTTTAAATATGTTCGAAGGCCCATTGAGGATGATGAGCAAGTGATGAGAAATAAGTGTAAATTTGGACACCGAAGAGGCCAGACAAGGAAAACTCTTGCTGATATAAGATTCGATGAGATTAAAATTGTCCAGATAAAAGTAAGATTGAAATCTTTTAAATGTTCTGACTTGATTGATCATTTCACTGAATAAGAGAAAAATACAATATTTAAAATAGTTCAAATAAAATAAACCCTCTTTTGCAAAATTTGAGAATTCAGAAACCCAGAAAATCTATGCTGTATATAGCTAGTAATATGAATGATGTTTCAAAAAAAAGTTTCTAAAAATAGTTGGAGGTGAAAGTGTTATTGAACATCTCATGTTCATTTTTTCCACAATCTTCAATGAACCTGGAAAACCCCTTATGATCCTTGCATAATTTATCTTCTTCTCATCTTAAAATGCATTTCATATTCTTGATGCCTTTATTGCTACAGAAAGAAATTTTTAATATTCACCTTGTGGGAGCTAGGTAGCCTCCAGTCTCAAGTTTTAAGAAGGAAATACTGCACAGGCATGGACACAGACCCCATATTGTTCTTCCCCTGCATAACCCCTACCCAGAATTCCCTGCAGGGAACTCGGACTGAAATCCTTAGGCATAACCTACAGATTCCTCCCTCAGCAGCATAGAGGCCATGTGGATCTTTGGTCCCAATTGCCTGAGATCCTGTAAATATTCCTTAACTGGCTCAGAACCCCTCAGAAACAAATTTCCTGTCAATAGCCTAGACTGAACTCCTAAAAAAGGATGTCCAAACTACCAAGTATAGAAGCTACATCTCCTGTCCTCTGGATTCTACTTCCGCCTTAGTCCAACATGAATATGTAAATGCAAACTCTTCACCCAAACATCTTTGTGTTAGTGAATGTACTTGGTGTAAATAGTCTATTTTCTTTTTCATCCTGTGTATTTACTTTATAACAATTGTGCAGTCTCTTGATAAAAACCAGTTAAAAGTCCCAGGAGACATAATTTTTTATTTTTTTAATTTTTGTGGTGTGTGTGTGGTGGGGGGTGTTTTAGACAGGGTCATGCTGTGTCATAATTCTCTTGCCTCTACCTTTTGAGTAGCTGAGACTGCAAGCATGTACCTCTGTACCTGACTTCTTAGGGTGGTCTGGGAGTCAAAGCTGGGCTTCCCACATGGCCCCAGCCTACCTAAAAGCAGCCTCTTACGGTTTTTTTTGTCACCATGGGTGGGCCTACAACTGCTCTTTGAGGAAAAGACAAGACAGCTAACAAGTACCCTATATTCAGAGGTGTGACTTTTTGGAAATTTTTGCTGCAAAAATTCCAATTATAAATTAAAATCAAAATTATAATATTTATTTTAAAATATCTTTTCTATTCTTAAAATAAAACACCACTTCATATAAGAACATAGTTCCATTATGTATAAGTTTCTCAAAAAATTTTATTTTTAGTACACTAAAAATGGAGTTCCCTTATAAATGTATTAAAGTTTTCCAAATTCAGTTTTCTCTTTTTTCTATGATGCATATCCCACTAAAACTAATTAGAATTGAATAATAAAAACAGACAATTAGCAGTTATCCCCAGCACTAGAACTTAAGAGCAAGCCCATGGGATCATAGGTCAGTCCAAGGGACACCAGGCCAAATTGAAGATCTGCTCTTTTGTTGACATGTCTCTGAGCCAGTTCATCCATTCACACTCCCTGTGCCCTCTCAAAAGCACCTTGGTTCTCCATGGAGATCACTGCTCTGGGCTCTTGTCTTCTAGTGTCCTGGCATGCTGAAATCCTAGGATGAATCCAGCTAAACCCCACAGCAGTCTTCACTGCAAAAAGAATGGGGAATTGAATGTACTGGAGTTAGGAGTTATTTAAGTTGCAGCAGAGTTTAGTTTTGACCTTCCTGCCGGCTGGGGCTAAAACGCATCAGAGAGTAGTCATTGTATACATCTGAAGAGACATTTTTTTTCTGGCAAATAAATCTGCTGGTAAGGATTTACTATTTCCCCTTTCCAAAGGGAACTGCAAAATGCTGATTTGTCAAAGACCTTAGCTGGCCTATTTATGATCTCATTTTGTTAAGCCAAAAGTTTTAAAGACGATATTATGGAAACAATGTGTCTCTGTGTTAGTGCCCTCCATGTTGATTAAGCAGATACTAAGAAGAGTAGATTGCTAGACTCCCATACATGAAATGATTAAATTTATCTCGTGGAATCCAATCCTTCAGACCAGTTGCCAAAATTGTATCAGTTAGCATTTTGAACTTCTTCTGAAAACTCCTTTTTAATGTCTTTAAGATTTCTGAAAATTAAAGATGTTTGGATTAAAATACCCTGGGGTTACTCTCACATCATTTACAATTTCTGGACTGGACAAAATATTTCCAAAATATAAAGGAAAATCTTTTCATGTGGTGCAAAGAAGGAAGATGTTGGTGCTGACAAGAAACAGGAACCCAGTCATGCACTGGAAGGCAAGGAAGTGAGCTTAGCTAAGCTGGAAGAAGAACTGGGGAAAGCGCAAGGGAGAAGAGATTTTCATTGTCTATGTATTGTTTCTGTTATTTTTCCCCTTTGGTGGTGGATGGAATTTACCAAAGAGTTGAAGGGTGGATTTCTTAGTTCTGTCACTTGGGCTTCTGCAGATCACCCAGGCAGCTGCAGAATCCGTGGCGGTCTGAGCAGAGACTGTAGGTCTCTTGTCCTAACCCTCTACCTACCGCAGACTCTTCTGCCAGTATTGTTTGGCTTAAACTACATTCTTTTTGGCTACAAAACCCAACTCATCAGTAATACAAAACCATAGCTTGAGTCAAATATGCCTGGGTTCCTCATATTCTACTACTAAAAAAAGAGGTATCATCATGTTACATGGATGACTAGCCTTATCAGAATCCCAGATTATGTTTCTGGACTAGACCTGCAGATGTTGGGTATCTTCAGTGTTTCCAACCTCAAGACCTCATCGCAGGTGTAGGTCTTCTCATTTCTTATGCATCTTTTAGTTTCAGATCCAAATAATTCATTGCCCCACGAATTGGTAAATCTGCTTCCTTTTATTTTTTATTAAGTCTTTTCTTTTTTTTATTCATGATAGAGCATGTATACACATATGAGAGAAAGAGAGAGCACCCTTAACAGGATCTGGTAACTCCCCAATTCACTTTCTCTAAATCTCCAGCTCTTTGGATCTTGGGAACTTGTGCACATGCCTGGTATGTTTTAGGCTGACAGGGCCCAGGATTCCAACTGTGATTGCCAAGTGGAATCAGGCTTTCTCTTTTTTTTTTTTTCTTTTTTGGAGAGGTTTTTTGGTATAGGATGTGTGTGCTCGCCAAATAGACAGAGAGAGACAGAGAGACAGAAATGGAGAAATCAACCCCCCAGGGGAGATGACCATGCCGCAATCCCCTCTCCTCCATTCTCATCTCAGGATCTTTGGCAGGCATGCCCATGCACCCAGTGTGAGCTTAAGCCACCGGGTCCAGGACTTGAACTGCAGTCAACTACATGGGAGTCCAGCAACATAGCCATTACGCTAACTGCTGGTCCCAAGAATCAGGCTTTCTTTTGAGCAGAACTGTACCATGCCGCCATGAAGTCAGCCATATTTCCTTTTCTTCACTGTTATTTACTTCATCCTGTATTGAGTAACAGAGATGTAATTAGTCCTTCTCCAAACAAGGACTTAACCGAGTCATTTCATTAAATTGCTGATAATTTCTCATTTCAATGACAAAAACACTGGTGTTATAGCTATAGGAATTATTTGGAATTGCATCACAATGTATTATATTATACTGTGTAGTATTGTCTGACCAAAAAAAAAAAACTCAGCTATTAAACTTAAGTGAACGAAACACCTCACTTTATGAAACATTAACTTTATGGAGCATAGCTCTGTGCTAGGCCCCTCTCTCATTTTATCAATTCCTTTCGATCTCCCCATTTCCATGTGCCTTTCTCCCTTCATCCATGGGCAGCCATATACAGCACTTCACTGTGTCTTTTTGTTCATAAGTGCTTCAGAATTGGGGGTTTACATTTAACATAAATGGTATTGTATACTTTATTCATGTTTCACCTTTTCAATGGACACTCTGGCATTCATGTTGCTATGTGTATTCCTAGTCCTTTGATTCTGACCATGTAGAGCCTGTCTCTCCTCACTCAGATTGCACTGCAGAGAGTACCTTTATATGGGATTGGTTAGAGAGCTGTGTGTAATTTCTCTGGGTTGAGTATGCAAAAGTATAACTGATGTGCCCAGGGCATGCATGTATGTGAGCTGACCAATTTCTCTCTGGGATGACTTCGTTAGTCTCACTCCCACAACAGTGCATGTCCCTGTACTGCCTCCAACCCTTGGCATTATCCAGCCTTCTAAATTTTGCCAAGTCTATTAGGTATAAAGTGTAATCTCATTCTTGTGATTTGCATTTCCCTGGATCACTAATGAGTTTGAGCAGCTCTTCACATATTTTGTTAGTCTTTTGAGTTTCTTTTGAAAATTTGCCTCTTTAGATCCATTGCCCATTTTTTAATAGGTTGGCATCTTTATCTTGTTCATTTGTAGGAAATAATCCCCAAGTCATGAAGATGTTCTCCTACTCTTTCTCCTGTGAAGTTAGTATGTTTAGTTTTCATGTGTAGATCGTTAAATCATATGGAGGCCATCTTTGTATATGCTTTTATGTAGAGATCCCAGGTAATGAGCCAATTCTTAACCCCTAAATGCCTAAACAACGCATCCTTTTCTCATTGATTTAAGGCCACCTTTACTGTGTATTAAATTCCTAAATAGTCTTGAGTGGGCTCTGGGAACTCTCTTATTTGGTCGGTCTATCAATGTGTTCTTACGGTTAGCACATTGCTTTTATGATTCAGTGTTTGTTACTTGGTATCCACAGCACTTAGTGCACAGACATCCTCTCGTCCATTTGCCATTACCTGTGTTGGAAGCATTCAAAATCCTCCCTTTAGTTACTTTGAGATACATAACAAGTTGTCATTTATATTCACCCAACTGTGCCTTATAACACTAGGTATTATTCTTCCTATCTATCTGTAATTTTATTTCTATTCATCAACAGCCCTCTACCTTCTTCCCCTACCT